ATGGAACAGAGCTTAGTACTTTAATTCAATTTAATTCAAATAATTATATTGAAGTTTTCGGCTCTTGTTTTGAAACGTGAGAACTCTTATGTAGCGTGTTGGAATCATATTTTTAAATAAATAATTATATTTATGCTCTATTTTTGTATCAAGCACTATTTTTTAAAATTAACAAAAATACTAAAGAACTTTGGATTATTTACCTAACGAGTTCTTTTCTATTTTCTATATATTTTTCATATATATATATATATATATATATTTCTTTTATTTTCATTTCCCAGTGCTTGCTTTAATGCATGCATGACCATGCCAATATAACTCAGAGGAACAAATTCCATAATGGATAATTTTTGCATGTTCTAATGAATACTTGGCACATTGTCAATTGTTTTGCATTTAAGAGCATAATGAAAAATTACGGTAATGGATAAAATTAACATTAATGCATGGAAGGTTATTCATGAAGATGAACGGATTTTATTCAAAATCAGCAGGCATAATGTTTGTAATTTATTCAATCAGACATATATATATATATATATATATATATATATATATATATATATATATATATAACCAAATATATGGATATAGATCCAACAGTATGAAAAAAAAATACAGAAAAACAAACAAAAAATCTGAATATGCAATTATGTAGTATTAATGTTAATATAAAGTCGACATCGGATGTTTAGGTCTATTTAAGACCATCTTCATGGACATTTTCATTTAAACATAATTAACATTAGAACTTATAAAATTTAACAAAAAAGACGATGGACATAAGAGCCTTCGTCCAAACAGATAACTGAAATTTTATACAGATCAGCGTTCCGTTTAAATATGATCACGTGTAGTAATCACGTGGGCGATGTTGTTAATAATTTTGGAAATCATCTTGAATACGTTTTAAACAACATAAGCGTTTTGTTTCAACATGATCATATTTAAACGGGCAACGATGATCTGTATAAAATTTCAGTTATCTGTTTGGATTAGTTGGGCTCTTATGTCCATTGTCTTTTGTGTTAAATTTTATAAGTTCTAATGTTAATTATGTTTAAATGAAAATGTCCATGAAGATGGTCTTAAATAGACCAAACGTCGAACGTCGACTTTATATTAACATTAATACTACATAATTGCATATTCAGATTTTTGTTTGTTTTTTTCTGTATTTTTCTTTCATTCATATATATATATATATATATACACTACAGAAAAAAAATTTTGGCCACCAAGCATTTCTTTTGAAAGATATTTTGAATTTTTTTTAAAAAATAAAAAAAGATAAAAAAAAATTTCAGTAACTACAGTGGATTTACTTTTATTTTGACAAAAAATAAGCATTTAACTATAAAAAAGTATCATATAACAGCATCATATTTTGTTTTTAGCAATAAAACTACCACCTGCCTTAATTAGTGCTTTACAAATTCTTAGCATTCTTTCCAATAGTTACTGAAAAAAAAGTAGATAGAAAACTTTCCGAAGTATTCTTCAAGCATTTACAAAGCTCAGTGAGTATTATCTTCAAACTCTTCCAACCAATTCATTCCATACTAATTCAATGGGAGATTGGTTGTTGTTTGTTTTGTTTTACGACATATCAACCTCAGTGGGTCATTTAATGCCAACAAAATTTTTGAAATAGATTCATAGTGATAGCTTTGTAAAAAAGGTGTGTATGTATACATAAATATTTGAACCCTTTTTCAATTACTCATTTTTGAGTACAATCCAACTTCTTTTAGGAAATTTACAATCTTGGATGGTTTTTATTTTCGTAAAAAGTTTTTTTATATATTCATTGGTAATATTTTGTTCACACTAGATCAAAATCTACAAACTCTAACAGTATATGTTTCACTGTAAATCTAAATTATTGCTGATAATAATTTTTCCTCCAAAAATTATTACTGATAATAATTTTTTTTTTATTACAAAGTACTTTTGGTATTAAAACCTATGTTTACACAAGTTTGTCCATAGCTGGAATCCTAACATGAGCTACCAGGTCAGGGTGGATCTAGAAACACCAGCAATTAAGAGGAAATTCCACACTCTTCAAAACCTCCTGATCAGAGGCCTTGCTGTTGGATGTAGTTTATTGTCATACTCAGGACAGAATTCAATGGGAAAGTGGTCAGTAGATTAAGGCAGCCAAATCATAATTTCCAAAATGTTGCTCTTTTTTTAAGTTAATTTTGACATAATTTAGAAGAATGTTTTGGAAGTCTAGAGTTAATTGTTATGTTCCCCTCCTATTCGTATAAATTACCCCTTAACATAACCCTCTACCTCGAGTGGCCCTCAGGCCTTGTACCGGGTGAACCTTACTGTAAAAAAAAAACAAACATTCTTGTTGAAAATTAAATTTTATATATATATTTATATATATATATATATATATATTAATAGTTGTGTGTGTGTGTATATATATATATATATATATATATATATATATATATACAACTGCAACTTAATTTCGACGTATGAGAATCTGCCAGCTTATTGATTCAGTTATGAAAGTTTATGCGTTAATCTTAAGTGGCATTTAAGACCCGCTAGTGATTTACAAAGGAGGCCACATATGGAGCAAGTGTGACATATATATACACAAGTGCAAGTTATCTATATATATATATATATATATATATATATATATATACACAAGGAGAGAGAGAGAGAGAGAGAGAGGGGCATGTTGGAGTAATGGTTTGTGGACTGGACTGAGGAATTGGAGAGCCGAGTTTGAATTCCAGTCAAATCCATTACATTCACTTACATGCTAATACTCTCAGGAAAGGTATGAATCCTCTTCTTCTCCTTCCAGCTATGGGTAAATAGCAAAACAGACTGCGTTCTATAGCTTTGGATGGCAACTGGTCTAGGAAAAGGGCAACTCTGAATTCAAAACCTGCAGAGGGTCGTTTAGGGACCTTGTGACACATACTGCACCAGGTCTCTGTATTCGGCCCTTCAAAAAGTGTGGATGGTTCTGCACAAAACCGTCACCACTATAATCAAATCATCTGTGCTGGTGTCAGTTCTTAGGAACTGATCTTATTGACCCTCTATATTTTCCTGCTTCACTCTCTTTCTCCTTTTGCTCCAAGGTGTAGAACCCCATTGTAATTATAGTCCACTGACAACTGAACTCTCATGCATGTCACTTGCAAATATCTTCCAAAAACCTCCTTCTATGAAGTAAGTCAAGCTTTCACTTTGGTTGCTTCAACTCAGTGCAAGGCTGATTCGGGCATAAGCCTTGTAATGATACTTATACGAACTTACCCTAGGTTCTGAACCAACAAAAAGTAAACAGAAATCACATAACCATTTTTAAAACTTTCAATGATAAAGTAAGTACAAATCTTTCTTTTGGTTGTTCCAAGTTTGCACGAGGCTGAGTTTGACTATGATGCTTATATTTACTTACCTGAACTCCTGAAGCAAAAAGAAAATGGACATACCCAAAAGAAATTAAGAACTTTGTTTCACTACAGTCACTGGAAAAAAAGAATAAATGGTCCATAGTAGAAACCCAATTTTTTATGTTTCTTCTTAATTGTTTATTATATGTGAACACTCACCTTCATCAAAAATGTACCTCAATATGAAACCTTTTAAATTCCATAGTTTTCTCATTCTCTTTCACTCCCTGTAATCCTCAGCATCTTACTGGCATTATCACTTTGCTTCAAGTGAAATGATCAAAAAATCTTGTATTTTAATTTATCATAACATTATTGCAACTAAATAAAATTACTACTAATATTGTTAGATACTTAAAAGTTGTTATTCCTGCAAATGTTATTTTTAGTGGGTACATGTGTTTGAACAGACAACCCTGTCTTTTTTCAATTAGTGAAATTAACATCTATTGATCTGGAGGTAGTGAAATTAAAAGAAAAGTATCTCATGGCAAGGACTGAACTGTCATCCCTACTTTTACCTTAGGGAATATACTTTTAAGCCAGATGCAATTTATCATTTTAGCTACAGCAAAACCAGCTTAATTACACTTTTTAAGAAATGATATCTCCCATTAGTATGTTTACTGTTACATATATATATTATATATGTTGATTCTTATATTATACATGCAAATATATATATATATATATTATATATATATATATATATATATATATATATATATATATATATATATAAAATGATTTGAATAATAAAAAATATAAAAAATCAAAATTTTCAGACACACTGGGTTGTATATAAATATTTTTTGTTTTATTATTTCAATTAGGTTCCTTGACTAGTTTCGGCCAGCATGGCCATCATCAGGAGAAAAAAAAATGCCTGCTTGTTAAGAGCAGTGAACTACTGGAATGAATGATTGTTTCTGAAGAATATAAATATATACGTCATAAGTATAATATATACATCAATATATATATATATATATATATATATATATATACATGCTATATATATATATATTTCTAGATCAATTCTGATTGAATAGTAAGCTCAATCCTCACTGTGTTCCCCATTTTTTGGCCTTGTGCCACCTTTAAGTTATGCTCAGAAAATTGTTATTTGAGCACTTCAACATGATGTAATTGTTAGTAAGCTTGTCTCACTACATCAATTATTACAGGGTAGAGAGTTCACTCCTCACTGGGTGCCTCATAATTTTGGCCTTGTGCCTAAACTAAGCTATGCTTTATGAATCACCATATATCAGTCAGTCTCGGTCTTTTTTATTTTTTCAGTATTGTTGATTTTATTCAAGACTTTATCTGGATAACAGTTTTAAGTTTTGACAAATTGTTTGTTGCTTCCATCAATACTTTTGTTGTTCTTTAATTCATACATATATATATATATATATATATATATATATATATATATATATATATATATATATATACTCTTATGCATACTCTATCCCTGTTATTGAGCACTTTTACTCATGTATATAGCATACTTTAAACCTATACTTTACAATATATATATATATAGAGAGAGACAGATAGATAGATAGATAGATAGAAAGATAGATAGATAGATAGATAGATAGATACCATATTTTATGACATATTAGATGCACTAGAATATCAAGTGTACCCTAAATTTAGAATGAAATATACTTGAAAAATAAATCATTTCTGAAAACTTGCTGTACGCATTGCACTCTGGGATTTACAGATGTCATTTTTTTTTTTTTCACGATTAGACGATGGTTCTATTGACATGCTTCTGTATATATTTATTTTTCACATGAGTTTTCTATTTAGTAATTATAAATAAAGAAAAAACTATTTTTTTTTCCTTATCAGTTTTGGTTTAATTTTCTCTTCCGTCTGCTGGCTTCATTTTAATTTTCTGACCTTTTGAAGATGACTGCATGTGAACAATGCTCTTGCAAAAGAGACTGCATAGATTAATCAAAACAAATGATGCAATTTGAGTACCATCCCTCAGAATACCATAATTTACTGAGACTAAAAATTACACCAACTTGAAATTACTGATCCTTAGAATCTAAGATTCTTTTAAACCTGGGGTAAGTTATAG